AGAGAGAGAGAGAGAGAGAGAGAGAGAGAGAGAGAGAGGTTAGGTGAAGAAACATCGATACAAACACAGTGGCAGACAATATTGTGTTTGAAGCTGATCCAGGGCGGGTAGACCACAGATAATTCCTAAAAGCACTCCAGCACTATCCAACATTAAGGCAGAGAGTGTAGGCCTAGGGTGCAAGATTGAGAGTGAGTCTAGGATCGAAGCGGAGGAGTGAAGATGGAGGAAAGAACAGGAAGCTAATGCACAGGAGAATTTGGTGCACACTGCAAGCATTAAGAGAATATTGGTAAAGCTAAAAATCAGGAAAGATCCATAGAATCCTCGCAGTTGATATAACTCTAAAGAGGAATTAGGAAAAGAGCCAATAAAAAAGCCTGATTTATTGACTCGTGGCCAATGCTTCCTGTTCGCCGACAGCTCAGAGACGCAAGAATAAGGTGTGCAGCAAAAATATGCACGAGTATGTAAAAGATTTCTTCCTCCTTGTTCCCCTCCTCCAGCATCCTTCTAGGATGTTGTTATTGATCATTGGATATGTTGCCTCTGCCTGCAGGGGCCCGGGGGACCCCACACAGGAACAAACAGCATCCAGGGCTGGGAGTCAGGTGTTAATACAAGCTCATTGACCGACAGGCCACTTCACTACATTAACACACAGCACGGAGGGCCCAGGGAGGAATAAAGGAGGGGAGGGGTTAGGTAGTGAGGGAAAAGCTTTATACATGGCACAAACAAGGACTTCATCTACCTTCACAGACAGAAGACATGACGGCACTGAGCCCTCGAGAATCACAGGAGAGTGAAAAAGCATATCATGTTCCACTAGATGTCTGAGCCATCCCTGGTATAAGAAAAATGAGCTGTCTTCCAAAGACAATCACACGGCAGGTCACACAGCTCCAGCACGACATGTCACTTTTTCATGGCATCATTTGACAGTAACATTCATGACGGAGAAACTGTGATAATGTTTACAAGTCCAACCCCAAACCTCTTCAAAAAGAGAGAGATAGACCTACTGATGACAGACGAGATGAGCGACGCTGAGCCAATTAGAAGGAAATTGCCCAAAGGGAAGAAACTGCAGGGAAAAGAAATACGGTTCGAGTGACGCGTGATCAAAGGGAAGCCCTTCTCTGGCCCGACCGGAGCGCAAGCGTTTGAAGTCCTGATTATAATTCGTACAGAATAAAATAATTATATGAACCCCTTTGAGTACATGTACAATAAATATAATAAGCTCCGAGCAGTCTGTGCATTATAATTACGCAAAGAGGAGTTTGTGTTTCTGCATGTCTTTGCAGATTTCTTACAAATTATGTCTCTGCTTTTTCATTACTGCTGACCGTTTCTAAAAAGCAAACCTTTAGATTTATGAATGGACTTCTCCTATTTTTGAGGCCACTGTTTTTCTCATGCACTACAATATTGCTGGGATATTAATTAGCAGAAGCCAACAAAGTAGCTCGGAACATATTATTAATCTCTTTCAGGGTCATGGTCTGTAAACATGACACTCGGTTTCACACTGTTTTTCAAATGACGTGGTGGTTGTAGATTTAACATTAAACTCATCTTTTTAAATGCTCCTATTCGACTATGATTCCTATTTTAATGTGAAGGTCAAAAGTTTCATCTGTCAACACCTCGTCATCTCCACTGTGATGGATTACTCATCTCAAACAAGTTTCAAGTCCCTGCAAGTTAATGATGACCACAAAATTCATTGAATGGAAACATTTGATACTGCAAAGATATAGAAAACCTGTTCAAAATATAAAATTACTGCAGTATAGCTTTAGAGAATGGTTGGGTTGGGGATTGGTAAACTCACAGTCAATAAATGTTTTAAAGGTTCAGTGTGTAAGATTAAGGTGAAAGGGATCTATCGGCAGAATAGATTAAGATTATGAAATAATCCAAGTGATGTTTCATCTAAATCGTTCTAATTCTTGTTTTCTTTCTCAGCCCTTTATATTTAAATACTTTATATGTACATCAGGAGCGGGTCCTCTGTATGGTGGCAGACATGTTTTTTTAAAGTAGCCCAGACTGGACAAATTTGAGCTTTTGAGTTTTTGTGACAACTGAAGGCTTCTACAGGTTCTCTCTCATGTTTGGAAGGGGAGGGTGAGGTGAGGGGTATTCAGCTGCAACATGCAACTACACCACAAGATGTCCCCATATTCTACACACTGAACCTTTAACCTATCTCTTTTATTTCCATCGTCACAGTATGAAATGAGGGAAACAAACTGCTTGTGTTGGTTGAGTGTATTGCTGGATAAGCACAGGAAAACACTGCTGAAGCAGCTGTACAAGCTGCTGAGCTAATGTCTAAAAAGATATATCTCTTTGACTCAGGGAAGGTCAGTGCCACAAAGAAAGAGAGAAAAAAAAACTTCCGGATATTTGAGAAGATAGCCTGGCAGCTCCCCCTGGTCCGGCTCTCTCATTCTGCCTCCTCTCCACTACTGCACTTGCAGAAAATCAATGCTGAGCGACTGCAACTGTATCACCGCGTTCCCCCCCAATCAATAGCAGTCCATCGAGAGCCTTGGGTCCTGACCTCCGGCACGGCAAGGCTGCACACCCAATCTCCAGCCTGATCTGGGACCAGATTAGATCTCCCTCTGGTGATAACCCCTAATAAGAAATTCCATTTCTAGATGCACACTTCTGTCGGTCTGTTCCTCCTCGGCAGCAGAAAACCTCCTCCTTGTTTTTGACCCAGTTTGGAGAATAATCACTGCTTCACCACACACTGGTTACCACTACAGACAGCCACAGCCACAGTGTCAAATAAACATCACCCAGGGGCTGACGTCACATAGACCCACTCTAATGTGTTACATTATATTGTGCTTTTGTATTTTCACAGCAATTATAGGCACTGCCATTTGTGTGAGTTAGTCCTTTTTAATCATTGGTGAGATGTAGTTGCTGGATAAAATGTTCTTCATGGTATTTGACTTGTTTATTTCGAAATGCTTCATTAGGATCACATCACAGACCTTTTTTATCTCCTGTTTAGAGAGTATGCATGGTTTCATTTTCTTTGTTTATTTGATCAGGATCATTGGTAGAAACATTTCCACATCAACAATAAGTGCACTCCAGAATAGTACATAACTGTTTCCCAATTCAGGGGCTGCATCCTTTAGAGGCTGCACTTGAAGACTGTTTCACCATGACGCTGCTAGGCCGTCCCATTCATAAGGCTCCTTCAAACACGGCTGATAAATGCACTCTTCCGTTCCCAAGCAATCAGGGATCCGAAGGGTGGATCCGTCTTGGTCAAATGTAACTATCAGGCTTTGTGTGTGGCCGAGCTGCAGTAAGTGCAGCGGCTCAAAATAGCTAACGATGCAAGAGTAAGAGCTGATGACGCAAATAGAAGAACACAACCTCTCATTTCAGTTTGGCCTTTGCAGCCTGCTCAGTCAGACCGGGAGACACATCTAATAACTGATACTTTTTTACTAATGCAGCAGCATGGCTCTATGGATCGCAAAGATAAATGAGGAATAAGTTACCTGAGGAAATAATACTGTCTGAGACAGTGTTTTCTTTTTAGTCTTGAAAAACATATTGTTAATTTACTTGGGGTGCCAGGCTATTATTGGTCTTTTACCTAAACTATTATTACCAACACTATCATTAATGCACTTCTTGTATTTTAATCATTGTTGTGCAACACTTTGTACTTTGTGTCCTCTATAAATTAAAGTATTATTATTAAAGTTGATAAATGTGAATGATATATTTCAATCATTACTGAGCAATATTTAACATGTAAATATTGTTTTCAATTTAATCAAAACCTCACAATAACTGGTCCTTTTTTTTTACAATAATTCAAAGAATGAAATATGCTTTTTCCCATAATGCTGTGGGATACAGACAATAGTTATCAGATAAGCTCTTCACATCTAAATATAACTTTTTCTACAGTGAATGAATCCTATATCAACACATTTTGAAGCCAATTAGACTTTGGAGAGTTGAGACTGTTGTGATGTGAGCATGGCAGTGTCAGTCTCTGAATGCTCCCTGTCTCCATCAGGAGCTGAGGCACACTGATCCATGTGGATCCACAATAATGCTCCACAATCTGTCAACAACTGTGCTTCCTCTATGCTGTAGGACGGGCTGAGCAGAGCTGCCGTCCATGTCCCAGTGAGAAAATACTGAAACATCTCCGTATAGTGGTGGGTGCAAACACCACAATCCGAGTCCCACATATCATGTCCTAGTGCTGATGAGGCTGAACAGGCAGACAGCCCAGAAGCCTGACAGCTCCCCACTGCAGAGAGCGCTGCATCATTAATAACGACCTGGCGATATACAGCCGTAGACATGGAGACATCGATTGGCTTTCTGCCTTTTCACCAGCTCCTTTGCGTCTGTTAACTGTCTTCATGTTCTTTTTTTCCTCTGCTCGGCTTTTCCTTTTCTTTCTCCACACAGGCTAACTTCACAGTCACGTGTGCTTCCACAGTCTCCATAGCGATGAGCATCACAAGGAAACAAAGTGATCCCACGGAGACAAGAACTCACTGTGCACTGGACCAGAGTATGGGAACAGCTGCTGCAGAAACAATAATAGTTTTACAGATCTCCCTCTAGTATTGAGAATTATGCTTCAGTGTGGAGCATCCAAAATAAGAGTTGACAATTGAGGCAGGGGTAGTAATGTCATTCAGGGCTGGGTTTGGGCCAGGCCAGTGCATTTACATGTTCCTCAAGCATCTTCCACCCTCCTCTAATTAAATTTTCAGCACCTGTTCCACCCTTATGTTGCAGGATGACTTCATCCTCTGTAATGATGCAATCTCCAGGCCCTGGCAGGCAAGCCAGAGAGGCAGGGGCGGAAGGGAGGAGCCCACCCATCATTTGTCACCTTT